TTGGATCTAGAACAGTATGTTATTGCCTATTCTTGCTGAGTGGGTACTTATGAGTTTCATTTCTTTCATTGTACAACCTCCATGGTCCACCACTTTAGCAACTGGGAACTGGAGTGGTAAGGATTCCCATGCTCCACTAGAAGAAAAAAAAGGGGAGGAGAGAATACGTGTTGGGGAGTTCAGAAGAACAACACACTGGAGACTGTGCAGTGTGTGTCTGTAATTCCATATTTTGGAATGCAGAAAGATCCACATTGTAAGAATCACAATACTTTACTCATAAAGTCCATGAGTGATGGGCCTTTATATAGAATACATTGATAACAAAAGTTTGATATATATATATATATATATACATACTACCAGAAAAGCATCCAGTGGTGTTACAGAAACACCCCATCTCTATAGTAGGCATTCAGAAATATACAAATTTAGTGCAAAGATCTAATATCCAGCATACCTGACCAGGCAACACACCTGCCACTAGGTGGGATCCTGAATTATGATGTATATCAACTGAAAAAGATACAAAATAATAACAGGTCAACTTACCCCAGCAAACAGATGTGTGGATAATCACCACAGGAGGAAGACAAAGCCAAATCATGCAGATAGTGTGCTACAGAAGTATTAGTAATCATCCACATACCCATTTGAATGATCTCTTTGAAAGGTTGATGGATTTGAGCAGCTAAGGACATAATTAAGTGATGAATTTGGTGAGATGAGACATTGTGCAGCTGGCAACATTCCATGAATGAGTCAGAATACAGTAGCTTTATGAGTTGCTGAACCCAGCCAGTAAAAGTAACAGAAGATAGGCCCCAGGAAACAGAGGGATTCCAGGGAATAAATATGCAGGATTGTGAGCCATAAAAGGAGGCAGTATGAGACACATAACAATGGAGGGAATGCATAGGACAGAGAAGATGATCGAGATCCAAACATGAATACAGGTGGGAAATAGATGGTAAGGAAAAGGGAGAAAAGGAAAAGTAACCTTCACGGGCAGCAGCTATCTTAGGAAGGAAGGCCTGATCTGAATAAAGGATAACGTACAAGGAATGATGAAGGATATGGGAAACATTAATGGCATAAATACAACAACCACATGCTAGGAGGAGAAGGAAATAGATCTTACGAGAAAGATGGTACAAGGAGCACGTAGCAATGGGTTCAAAGGAAGAACTAGACAGGGCATGAAGAACAACATTGAGATTCTAAACTCAAAGAACAAAAGGATGTAGAGAATGAACAAGACAAAATGAATGGAAAAGGAGGGAAATAATTGGGGAGGCAAAAGCTGTATGGAATTGTGAGAAACAGAATGTGTTTGACAGAGCAGCCTGATATCTAACAACCCTTGACATGGACAAACTCTAGTCAAACAACCAGGTAAGGAATTGAGACAGATGAGGAACAGAATGACGAAAGCCATGGTGAAAGGACTACCAGCTGAAGGTAGACCAATGTTGCTGGTACATGGACAATGAGGAATGCCAAATGGGATGGGTAAGGAAAGACACTATAAAAAGAGTGAGTCCCTGAGCTGAGGCAAGGGACCAGACAAAAGCCATGCATGAAGATGGAGTTTGGTGACGTCTGGATGGAATACATCTGATCCCAGTTGTTGCAGGAGTGACATGGAGGAAAAAGAATGGGAAAAACGAGGGTAAAGATGAGAATGCCTGGGTAAGGGACAGGGAGAAGAAAAAGATTTCCCAGTTGTTGAAGGAGTGATCTTGAGTAATGAACGTGAAAAAACGAGGATAAGAACTGGAATGTCTGGGTAAGATATGGGGAGAGGAAAAAGGGGCATGGTGTACTCAAATTGGTGAAAATTGGGCAAGAATAGCTAGACGGAACAAACGAGATGCCAGGAAGGACAAGGAGGAATGTTTCCTTGCCACATCAATCCTAGACTCCAAAGAATCAGGAAGGCCCCAAAACACCATTCCCCACAGAAATGGGACCTGAATTCATCAGAAAATTGATCAGGTGACTGGCAAAATGCTTGAGACAACAAGCGATACAAAAGGGTGGTCAGGGCAAGACAAATCCTAGAAAACTGAGATTGATAAAAGTGGATCAAAGCTCCCAGATTTGAGTTCCACAGGAGGAGAGTATCCATATACTGGGAATCGAAAAAGGGATTCGAGGCTTACTGGTAAGCCAAAGAATATTGGTTCATCAATTGGGGTGGGGGTGGACATACCTGCACCTGACAGCAATTGATCAGTAAAACATTGAGCAGGAGGAAAACATAATAATCAGAAAGAGGTTCTTCATCCAACAAGGTAGGTGAGGAATCAACGACTAAGGGTGAGACATTTAAAATTTGACATACCTGATCAATAAGGTGTATGAATGGCAAGGTCTGCAAACTCTCCTAACTGTCAGCATTATGTAACTAATAAAAAAAAGCCAGGGCCAGAAAAACAGAGTCCAAATTATCTTCACCCTGAATAAGTTCTTCCTGAGGGAAAGGTAGAAAGAATTGACTGCCGAGCAAAAGTATCCAACTCCCTGCAAATTAAGGCTTGAACTTCCTTGGTAGATATCGTCAACCTACCTTGCTGGGAACTAGTGACATTACTGTCCTTAATATTGGTGGGAATTTTGTCATCTGCCACCATAAAATTTGAATTTATATTTCAAATTAGAATTCAAATTATGGAAGAATACTTTGAAAAACAAACTAAAATACAAAAGCAAACACTAAAGTTTAAACTGGTGAAGAACTGAAATGTAAACAACACAAAAAAGCATGCACATGGAGTGAAGTAAACACACATCTATACACTGTAATACTAATCGAGAAATTAAAAATTATGCTAGCATAGTAGAGGGAGCTGTCTGTGCTAATATAGGTGGTGCAGTATGATTGTAGGAGAGTAGTCACATCTTCTGAAATGGCGTGAAAATAAAGGGGTATAATAGACCGGTATGTTATTAACGAAAACTTTTTTAGCAATGTTTAGATGGCAAATCAACACATGATGTCCATCAAGACAACTGATCATGCCAGGCTAAAACTGCTGTCTTCATAGTGACTAGCATTCATAAATCTTGATTGTTTAAAAAAAAGAGGGAAAACAAGTAATAAAAAAATTTGAAAAATAAAGATGATGTAGAGATGGTAATGCCTAAAAGTACAGAAACAAGGTAGGGACGAATACACAGAACCATATAAAAATCCCTACTTAAGAAGCCACTGGGTCAATATTACAGGCTTATGGGAATTAGCTATTGTAAAAATTTATAGCATTATTCAGTTAAATGCTTTTACTCAAACTTGAATTCATGCATATGAAAGGTTTTGTTTGTTTGTAATTAAACACAAAGCTACACAATGGGCTATCAGTGCTCTGCCCACCATGGGTATCAAAACCCGGATTCTAGTGTTGTAAGTCTGGAGTATAAAGGTTGTTTTCTTCTAAACTTTTATCAAAATTAATAAGAATATGTCAATAACAAAAATAAGCAACTAGTTAAACAATTAATAAGTTGCAAATAGTTATTGGTCAATTATGATTAATCAGACAATTGTATTTTTTATTCATTCAATAATTATGAAATCCCTTCACTGACCATCTTTGAGAAGCTATACAATCCATCCAAAGACCCACTTACATTAATTTCCATACATAACATAAAGCCCTATCATACTGTTAAGCCTAAGCCAATCTCACAGTTGATAAATTGACATGAAATACAGACATAAACAATAACTGAAGAAAAAATGACGATGAAATTCAGTACTATCACTGGCAATTCTCTAATTAAATTCAACAGTACATTAAATGAATGAAAGTATTGCTTTTGAGTTGTATTGTGTCCTGACTGTAAACTGTAATATGTTTTTACAGTTAAATCAAGTTATAGCAAATCTTTATGTTTCATTTAATGTATCTCTCATTTGTAAAACAACATCAAGAGAAAAGACAGTAATGTACTTGTTTGATCTAGCCTTGGGTTGTTGGGCTAGGCTACCCCACCTTTTGATGTTTATACTTGTAAACAGTCATTGATTATGAACTTACGACGAATACCAATCATTGTAAGATATGGTTTACTGTTACTTACAGCTCTCTTGGATCTAGGAAGGACTGGCCTTGGGGTGGACAATGTATGCCCTCCCTCATAAGGAACCCAACCCAAGGGGCATCAAAATCAACATTGCAATTAGTAGTTCTTGTCAATTTTACAGGATAGAAGCACCAAACACAAAGTTCACAGAGGCCACAATTTTCCTTATGGGCAGCTCTGGAAGTAGGGAGGCATCATTGTAAATGAAATTTGGATTTCAAAATTTTATAAATGTAATGAAAGTTAAGCAACTTTGAGGCAATGACTATTTGTATAGAAATTGTGTACATTTTTCTTCATGTTTTGCTGGGGGTTAAACTATGAAACAATCAAACAGAAACAGGATTATCTGCACACATAAAAATATGTTTGGTATTTCAGCACTGTTTTTAACTGCCTTCAAATGAATAGGAAACATTCCCTAGTCTTCTCTTGTTGACAGCTGGCTGATTATGAATAATTATCAGATGGTTCTAATAATCATCTTTATGACTGATAAGCTACTTACTCAGCATGCCCCAATTTTCTGCATATCAAATACTACTAAATTGCTTTTACTAAAAATGTATTTGAAACATTATTTTTCTCCAAAAAAAGCTAATACTTCTGAAGTATCACCTTTTCTTAAAGATATTACCAGTTGCTTATTTTTTTAGCTACATCTAATGTGTAATTAAACATATTATTACTTTTTAAATAAATCCAGAAAATACTGCATCCAGTAGCAAAATATGCAAAAATCAGAAATACAGAACATTAAATTATTCTAACATTCTGATATATTTATCTATGTTAAAGTGTGTTTAGATAATAAGTTTCAATGAAGAAAGCTTCACTATAGGTTATGTAATTCTTTTTAAGTAAAATCCTTAAGACAATAAATGTTTAAAAGAAAATCTCTACATATTTACCTGTTGGGCAACTACTGAAAGTACTTCTAGCTCAATTCGATTGAACTCATCAAAACAAGCCCATGCTCCAGATGAAGCAAGTCCTTTGAAAAACTAGTGGGAACAAAACTAGATATTTAGAAATATTTTAAATATAGAAAAAGACTTGTCAAACCAGAGTTAGCCACAAGAAGCTTCTAGAACAATTAACTGCATAGTCAAAGTTTTAGTTACTTTAAATAATATCTACTTATTACTGTACAAAAGAAACTATTTTGTACAGAAAAAAGTAATAGAGGCTTCATTTAAGTGTTACTTGCCTTTTTTTTTATAGAAAAACTTGTTATTTTCATGTAAATGATAATAGCTGTTTTTTTTGGGTGAAATGTTTTGATTGAAACTCTTATGCATCAGTATTAAAGGATAGAACTGGAAGAATATACAGAGAATTCCACAACATTAGTTACTTCTCTATGACATCATTCTAACTACAAGATTGCACTAGTAAATGAAGCAAGCATTAAATGAATAATAGAAAATATGGGTGACTAGACAAAAACAGCTTCATCTCATATTCACAAAATTATTATAACTAAAAATCTACATCAGTATAAGGTAAATATTTAAAACCTAGACAACTGCACAATACAAATCTAAAAACATTAATAAATAAAAAGTAGATTACTAAAATTCTAAATGATAAACAGTTACACAATAGTTCTAGCTATAGCATTAATACATGTGTACAAAAATTATGATAAGTACTAAGTGAATAACTCAAATTCTAGTGATGTTCCTGTCATTACCAGTCCAACTATTTCCTCTACAAACTTTTGATGATATAACATTATCATAAATATAGAAAATTGTGTAACGATAATGAGATATAATGGAACTTCAGGTTTAGTTGAAAGGAGCCAAGTTAACATTTTCCTTACCTGAAAATGTATTTCTGACAGATATCCAGCTCTTCACGTAGATTACCTATCTTCCTTGTGCGTCTGCCTGAGAAACTTTCATACCATTAGTCTTGAGACAACTCCCACATGATTTAATGTGAACTGTACTGGTGCATGATGATGTGTTCATGCAACAAAAGCCCACACCAATAGGGGGGCAACACAACTTCCATGTACATGGGGAGGAGGGGTAGAAATGTGTGCAGACTTGAGTATCCATCAGAAATATATTTTAAAATTAGGAAAATGTTAACTTCTGAGAAAATAAATCACCTCTGTAAACGGTTCAACTAAAATTTCACAATGAATTGGTGGAGGAGCCAGTGCAAATTTTTCCCTAGATGAGCTCTCTTCAGAAACTGCCCAAATGGAAGCCCATGGAGTGTAACACCTGATGGCAGGGGCTCCATAGAGGCACACCTGTGGGAGACCACATCTCATCTCGACCAGGGTATACTCTTTGCCCAGAATGTAAGGAGGTACAGGCAAATGAGCTCTAAGTGTTGCAGGGACAGGTGGTATGAGAACATGACTGTCTGAGTACTTGCACACAAATGGTTGGTGAGTCAATATGTGTAGTGTGGTTGGGGCATGCCCAGACCGTACCTTATGTGCTGACCTCAACTCTACTAAACAGACCACAGCTGCAGGAGGAGGGCACATCAGTTATATATTATGGTTTTGTAAAGTATGTGCTCACCTCAACTCTACTGAACAGACTCCAACTGCCACCTAGGGCTCTGAAAAAAAAATTATCAGGTATTCTTCAAAGAAGGGATGAAAGAGAATGAGAAAGGTGATGAATCATGTGTAAAGAAATGTGAAATAGTCTCCACGTATCCACATACTGAGAGAAACATACCAACTGGAGGAGTAGATGAATCCATCCAGTAAGGGTAGAAGGAGAGAGAGGTCCTTGGAAAAAGAAGAGTTCCAGGGCAGAGGGACAGACAAAGGTGGGAACCCTGAAAGGGAGAAGTCCATGATATTGTGATGTAATGTCACACAATCTACAGATCATCAGATCACACTTTGCTGACATAAGATATGATTTACCATAACAATCAAGTAAATTGTTGATGTTTTGAATTATTTCTCAGTATGAGAGACAGATAAGCAGCTATTCTTCTCATCATTCACTATAAATTTGTTCACCTAGAGAAGCCATGACCAAAATATTCACATTCTTTCAAAATTAAACACAGAGGTATTTTACAAGTGTTTGAATTGTAACTATTTATAAATGGAAACCCAAAAAGTACAATGAAAGAAGTGTATTGGTATTTTCATATATATATATATACCATGAGTTCAATTACCTTATTAATCAGTAATTAGTGAGATTAAAATTAAACAAAAATCTTACATAAAACAAACATTATGAGCAAACTAAAAACCAGCTTTACCTATGTTTGATGGAAAAAATATCTGGTGTTGGGAGAATCATTACAAGTGTACCTGTACACACATGCCTCTTTTGAATTAAGTCAGTCAATAAAGTCTCATTCTCAAAACTTCTACCAAGTACATAATTTTGTCAACAAGAAAGACATTATATATCTATTTTAATATTGGATGGGAATATCTGCTCTTGAATCAAGTGACACATGCACACTGCACATCATAAATATTATTTCCTATGTCCACTAAAGATTTCAGACTCTCTAATCATACAGAAAAAGCCACTAATACAACAAACGTACATACTTTTCCCATTGCTAAGTAGTCTAAGCCATCAGAGCAGTTAAATACAACGCACAAAACAGCCAAAGCTTTTGCCAAGTCCTTAGTTGTTTCAGTCTTTCCTGTTCCTGCAGGACCTTCAGGAGCACCATTAAGGTGAAGATGATATGCTCCCACCAGGGTACGGTAGCAGCGATCCGTCAATGGTGTGATAACAAGTCTAGCAAAAATTGATCAGACTATTATGCACATAACAAAAATTCAAAACATATCTTCCTTAAATAAAATCTTACAGAAATCATCTGTCTATAATGAAAAAGATACTTTTATTTACTACCTAATAAAATATATTTAGTCAAAGTTTTACTTAAATGAGATAAATCTATGTTTCAATTTTCTAAAAACAGTTATTAACCTGGTCCTTGTCTTTCCTTACTTTTTACCATTTATTTAACAACAATAACACCAAGCTCACCACTTAATACTCATGAATAATGAACATGAGTAACTAATATTCTTCTCAAATTAAGTTCTAATCTAGAATGAAGTAACACATTTAAAACATCTAATTATAATATTGTAATACTCTCAGGTGCATTGATTTGCCAAAGATTAACATGAGGTATTGACAGAAAATTTATTTCAGAATGATTTCAAAGTCTCTTAACCTTGACTAGGTTTGAAGCAAGGAAAGACACCCAATACAGTGCAGAACATTGTGGAACAATCTTTATTTCAAACAGTCAAACACAAAAATAAGTGTATGTTGTGGCACCTTTACCAGAAAGCTATCAGTATGTTTAATGCAAACAATTATCTGTAATAATCTTAAATCATTCTTTCAGGCTGAAAAACATGACATTATATACTAAAAACCAGAGGGGCACTGTAAGACTTAACTAAAAGACAGATGCATGTATTTGGTATTACAAAAAAGTGTGGGTTTTACAAGTTATAAAAAGTGAAAGAGTATAAATAGAGTTATAAATTAGATCACAAAGTTCAGTGATTACACAACAACAACAACAAAAATTTCATAAGAAAAATAGGAAAGAAGGAAAGTAGTTAAATGGATATAATTAAATAGAGAATTCATGTAAATAACAAAATACCTTTTCTTTTTTAAAATGATGAAAAATATGGAGAAGATACTAAATGTTTGTTGGAGATTATCATCAAGTAAATTTAAGGATGCCAAAAGCAATATACATAAAAGGTTTAATTTAACCAACAATGTATGTGGCGAGTAGTAGTATGATAAACCTAGAAAAATATGGTGCAGAAGGTAAGGAAAATGAAAGTGACACTTTTTAAAAAGATGTCTAAAACAATACATGCCCCAGCATTGAAAAGTAAAAACAAACAGGATTAGGTATAGCTAGAGAAGAAGGAACCTAATGGTAAAGAGAAAATATGGTATAAATGCAAATGAATTTTACAAGAAGTAAAACAAAGGAAAAAACAATACATCATTAGTGTTAATTTTTCAAATGAGACCCAAAACTCAAGCGCTTTCGAATAGTTGACTATTCTTCTTCAGGAGAATAAAGGGTGTTAGATACACACAGCTATTTAAGTTTAACATGAGTATTAAATCTAGTAATGTTTAGAAGCAATAGTTTAACACAGGTTTGCTTATGTAACTGTGTATGAATCATGTGTTGTATAGTTTCATTATTGCGATTTGGCACTTGTATTATTGCATCCTGCTACTAGAAACTTCTAAGTTTTATCATTGTTTCAATTTAGTACTATTGCATCTTATTATCACATAGTGTGTAGAAAGGTCTATGCCTCTTGTCAGTATATAAATATGTGTACAAAATGTAGTTCAAGTAAGACAAAGTTAGTGAGATACAGATCGAGACTGTGTTTGTAATCTTAGCTATAAAGAGTGTACAGTGGCAATTTTTAGTGTTACAATTGCAGATTGTATTGTAATAACAGAGTAGAGAAGAATAATTCATCTTGTCAATTGAATTCTAAAGTAACTGAACCAACTTTGTGGACTTTTGATGTAAAAGAGAATTATTTAAAGGTCTGGATATAACTGTGGTAACCAATGGGGTAACATAAGTGAATTTATCACTGATTGTATTGTGATAACAGAGTAGAGAAGAATAATTTGTCCTGTCAATTGGTTCTAGAGTAACTGAACAAGCCTGTGTGGACTTTTGATGAAAAATAGAACTATTCAAAGCTCTGGATTCAATTTTAGTAATCAACTGTGTAACGAGCATTTGTATATATGTTTAACTTGTTTTAATATATTATTTTAAAGCAAGTGGACTGTGTGTGGTTTGTTTTTTGAATAAATTTATTGCTAATAAATCACAGACACCTACTGTAAAGAATCAGTGCATATAAAACCTGGCAGTGGCAAGCCAGCCAGAATTATACAGTGGTAAATGGTGGTAGAAGATGTGAATGACAGTGGAAGTAGGCCTATATATGCATGGTGGTAAAATTATTGTAGATTACAACCACACTATATAACCATGTCCATTGATAAAGATAGGTGAGTAACTTGGGCTCAAAGACAGCGATCTACAAGAGTTTGTTAAACAACAAGAAGAACTAGAGAGAAAAAAGAGCATAAACAGAGGAGAGAGGCAGAGAAGAGAGGATAAGGCTACAAATAGAGAAAGAAGAAAATGAGAGGAAAGAGAGATTGGAATTAGAGAGAATAAGAACATGGGTTGAGATCGCAAAGCTCACTTAAGAGAAAGACAGAGGACCCAAGAATGACAATGGGGTCAGGGCCAGTGATCCAAGCTGCCCAAGTCTGATGAACAGAAAGATGACATGGATGCTTTCCTAGAGCAATATGAAAGATTTGTCCTAAGTCAAAACTGGTACAAAGGCAACTGGGCAGTCTGTTTCATCACACAGTGTACAAGTGTATGCAGGCATGATGTCAGAAGTTGCCAAAGGCTTTGACAAATTAAAAGTGGCTCTGTTGAAATGCTATGAACTTACCGAGGAAAGTTTTTGCTGAAAATTCAGAGGAATCAAACCTGACACTGGAGAAACTATATTTCAGTTTTTGGCACGTCTAAGGCAATACTTCACAAGATGGACTGACACAGTCAAGTGTAAAAATAGTTTTGAAGGACTGGCATAATCTACTAATACACAAACAGTTCATGACCACATGCTCAACTGACATGTCACTATTCCTTAAGGAGAGAGCACCAAAAGACACTGATGAGATGATCAAGCTGGCAGAACACTACACGGAAGCCCATGTGGGGGAGTATGATTGACAAGCCCAAGAATAACCAGTTAAAGTCAAAACCAGGAGTGGCTGACTAGGAGCAGGATGCCATCAAAGGTGACAAAAAGTCTTGTTATAAAATGGAGCACATTGCAAGTGAGTGCGAATCTATCACCAACAAGCAACAGCAGAAATCTCAACAGAAAACAAACAAGATGCTATGTTTGTTATAAAATGGGAAACACTCCGAGAAAGTGCAAGTCTTTCATCAACAAGCAGCAGAATAAATTTTAACATAAAACAGCTGGAGCTACCTACAAAGGTAGCCCTGGCAAGAAACAAAATGGAGACAAATCATCATAATCACCAAAAGAATGAAGTGTTATCACCATGATCAAACAGTGCATGATTGATGGTTAGCTCAAGTTAGTAAATGCATCAAAAGCACCAGTAGTGCTCAGAGCATGTGACAAACATCGAGAGGTGCCAACAAACCACAACATGCCAGCAGGTCAGGGACAAGAAAGTGAAAGTTCTACAAGACACTGGGTGCAGTGGTGCAACAGTGAGAACCAGTCTAGCATCTGATGACCGGATGACTGGAAAGGTACACCCATGTGTGCTGACTGATAGAACAGTGAGAAAGTTTCCCATAGCCAGAATAAAGGTGGACACTCCATATTATGTGGGAGGCCTTGAGGCTATGTGTATGAAGGCACCAAGCTATGAATTGATGATTGGCAATACACCAGTCAGTAAAGATTTGGAGGAACCAGACAGAAAGGAGACTGATGAGGCCTCTGCAGTCACCACAAGAGCTGAAGAGAAGAAGACCAAGCAAGATATCAAGCCATTTCAAGTCTCGAAAAATTACATCCCGAATGTGGGTCTATGGTAATTGAAGGAAGCACAGAAGAAAGACCCTTCACTGCAGAATCTTTGGGGCAGTGCCAGGGAGAAAGTGGAGTATAAAACCAAAGGGAAGATGACTTACAGAATAGAGGATCAAAAGGGGATGCTGTACCGGATCTATCAAGGCAGTTTTACTGGGGAAGTTAAACAGATTATAGTACCAAAAGAATACCAGACTCAAGTGATGAAGCTGGCTCGCAATCAATTGTGGGAGGACATCTAGGAGCAAGGAAGACAGCAGACAGAATCACCAACAACTTTCATTGGCCTGGGGCATTGGAAATATGACCAAATTCTGCAGGTCAGGTGACATCTGGTAAAGGACAAAAGTGCCGGTGGGTGAGATGCCTCTCAGAGAGGAGGCATTCAGCAGAGTAGCTGTGAACTTGATCAGGACTAGCACCTGTATCTGACAAAGGGAACTGTTATGTGCTGACAGTAGTCGACTATGTGATATGTTACCCGAAAGCCATACCACTGCCGAAGACAGAGACAAAGAGAATAGCAGAAACCCTCCTGGAAGTGTTCTGCAGAGTACACTTCCCTGAAGAAATCTTGAATGACAGAGGAACCCAGTTTAACCCAGAAGTGATGCAAGAGGTGTGCAGACTCATTAGCACTAGGTAACTCTTTACCACCCTGTACAACCCAGATGTAATGTCCTTTGTGAAAGAGTCGATGGAGTCTTAAAGAGCACGCTCAAGAAGATGTGCCAAGAGAAAGCATTTGACTGGGACATGCATCTCCAAGCGCTATTGAGGCACAAGTGGGCATGGCAGGTGTAGCCGTCAAAGATGCAGAACCAGAAAACAGTGACTTAGTCGTAAAAGATGAAGACCTACTAGACCTAAGACCACTGGATGGAGATGAAATATACAAAGACCTAAATACCAGTGAAGAACTGACTGGCAAGCAAAAGAAAGAGCTACAAGTTCTACTGTGCCAGTATGCATATGTCTTCACAGATAGACCAAGCAAGACAGACCTTGTGCAACATAAGATTATGACTATGAAATTTGTCAAAGTGAAGCCCTACCAGATGCCCTCTGCGATGAAACACCTGATCAAGCATAAGGTCATGGTAATTAGAAGCTGGAATCATTGAGTCTTCAAAGTCAGTCATAACTGTGAAGAAGAGGGACAGCTTAAACCGTTTCTGCATAGACTTCAGGAAGCTCAACCTTGTGATGAAGTTCAACTCTGATTTATGGGAAATCCAGAGGATATTATGGCAAATCTAGACAGGGCCAAGTTCTTTTCCAAGATCCACCTAAGTAAAGGATATTGTCATATCCCAATGGAAGCAGGATCTAAAGAGAAGACAGTCTTTATGACACCAGATGGATTTACCAGTTTAAGAGGATGTTGTTCTGGTTAGTGAAATTAGCAGCAATATTCAACAGCATGATGAGGGAGATGTTGCACACAAGGTGGATGAACGACACATAGCCATGAAAGAGGAGAAGCTAACCCACATACAAAATGACACCACTCCCAGTAACCAAGACAGCAAGTCAGGTCCTTCCTGAGGTTAGCAGGATACTACAGGAAGT